GGTCCCAAAAAATGTTCCTTAGTTGAGCCCAAGTCCAAGCCAGGTAGGGGCGAAATGCTAGAAGAAGGAATGTCCTTGTTTACATGTCATCCTATCCTATCCTAACCTATACTAAATCTAACCTAATTTAATCTAACCTATTTAAACCTAACCTAACTTAACCAAACTCAACCTAACCTAACCTCCTCAATTATACAGTCAAAGAGGGTCACCACTTGGTGGAGTTAATGAACGTATTGGGTGGATCCCTGCAGTTGTGGGCGCAATTCAGGAATACCCGACTACCTGACTCAGGTCAGTGGGCCCAATTAATGCCCGCCCGTTTATTTTGTGTACGCCTCTCCTAAGCTGTGTCACATACAGGTGAGCTCCTCATAAATTACGAACCGAACCAGATTTAAAGGATTCGAACCCTAGGTTGCTAGGCAAGCCAAGGAGACAACCCTGACTGCTCCAACATTGACCTGACCCGTACCGTTTGCAAAATAACATGACAGCAACCCAATTTAGCAGAAAAATAAAAGTTTTTCTATCACGTCCCTGTTGATATGGCAAGCACAGTTTCACTTAAGTTATGATAATTGGTGGTAAATGAAGGGTTTTACTTGGTAATTTATGTGTAAGTCTTTGGAGCTTAAAGGTTTAAATGCACAAATACCCCCGCCACAGGAAATCTGCAGATTAAGCGAAATTCTATTTGGCTGATACAATTTTTGTTCACTGAAATACCTCTCCATGTCTTATTTTATTACCTATTTAAATAATATAGATTTAAATAGTACTTAATTTACTGATGCAGGGAATGGAACGTGTTTTACATTATTCTTGAAAATGCTTCAAATTAAATAAATGACTATCTAAAATTAGTTGAGAACATATCTATAAACAATCAAATTACAATAAATTTTTTTTTATATAAAAATAAAGCAAGCAATTTAAATGCTATTTTATTAAATGCTATTATAAACTTTCTCCATATTCTTTAATTTTGTACATTGACGCTGTAATAGTGGAAAATTATTTGCTTTTTTAAGCTCTGCACGTTGTCTGTATTGATAATTGGGCCATTGTTTGTGCATATAAAATAAATTGTACGTATAATGTGTTCAACTTCTGGAGACATCGGAATTAAAAATTTAATCGCTCCCGGGCCCAGGTCTTACCGAGACACCTGTATTAATAGCTTATTCCCTATGAGGAACAATCGCTAAAACTCCAAAACTGTACACTTGAACTAATATAAGCTTAATATTAGCGCCAGACATCGATTTCTGTTACGATTTACACGTCGCTGAACAGAACCATATAAATTTGTTAGCCGATGGCATATTGGTTTTACGTATTTCTACAGATTTGGTGGTAATATTTAATTAAACATAGTTTAATAACCAATATGACATGCATTATATTCAATATGAAACTGGTATTCAATTATAATATAGTCACATGTTATAAGTTAATGCTGCGTTCATTTAAATTTTGATAGTAAAATTGCTCTCTGGTTCAAAGGTCCGAGGCAGAGGAGTTTTGAAGGAATTTATCAATATTATAATTTATTTATTAGATTGAGATAGGGACAACAAATCAGAGTTTTTATTCTTATTGCGAGTTAAAAAGGGGGTTCAATGCAATGACGTATTTACTTACTGTATTTTGGTTTTTAACGATGGCTATATTGTATTAGTATACTAAAACATTTAGATACATAAGTATTACACGGTATAAAATATATTAGTTAACTGTATGTTTTAAAAATTGTGGGGATGCATAAGAAAAAATCCATGCTCTTATGGTATTTCTTCTAACATACGTCATTATTATCGTAGTATAATTTCATGAATACGGGAAGAATTATGAAAGAAATACTGTATATCCCCTCCACTTGATCCTGTTTTAAAAATAAAAGCTCAACAGCTGCGTTTTGCCAAACCGTCAATATTTTATTTGCAACTTATAGCCTACATAAAGAAAAATGTTGTGGAACTTCTCCTTAAACCAACTAAATATTGAAAACGGACTTCAAATAAGATTAGCTGGCTCTTTGGACAGAACCGTTTTCAAAATCTCAATGGTCAAAGAAATTTCAAGTTTTATTGATAAATTTTTAAATATAAAAAAGCTTCAGCATTAAGGGAAAGCCCTTAGCATTAAACTGGCAAGTTGAGGAATATGATGTAATCAAAATCTCCCATTAGTAAGGCATATCCAACTACTTTTACAGTAAGAAAGGCCTTATTCACAATTTTTTTGAAAATAGTTGTCCTTCAGCTGGGATACTAAAACTAAGACTTTTTATTTAAATGCGTGAAATAGAAGTAATGGTACAAAGAACATATTTTATTAGTATACCATTCCTTTTTGTATAAAAACAATTTTGTTACGTGGTTCAAATTGATAGACAAAAATAATTAAAGGAAACTCTTTTGTATCAATTAGGTAAATCGAGAAACTTCAAGAAAGAATATTGGAGTACATTGGAGCTTAGCACTTTTTTATTCTAACGAAATTGATTAATGAATTACTTCGAAAAGTAAACTTTAACGATCCCGCCAAGTTTTGTAAACAAGAAAATTAGGTCAATCGGAGTTTGCGGAAAGGGTTCTACTTTTTCTAAATAGCACCAGTGGATTTACATATTTGTTCCCGCTCATGAACAAGACGAAAATTGAATAAGTTCATTGTTCGGGTATGGAATTCAAAGTGCACAAAAACATCACATTTTGTAGTTATTTTCTTAATGTAGGCTACTATCAACTTTAGATTATATCAGGAGTTTTATATGTATCTTTTTTAAATTAAATCAAAATTGCAAACAAGGTTTTGCAGTTTCAAAAGATCTACGATGAACTTAATTAATACTTGTCCAATAGGCTGAGCCTTGATGATTACCCTTCATATGGACTAAGACAAAAAAGACAATAGCTTATGTTCTTTCATCAACAGAGAAAGTGCTTAATCGTTGGTACAGAAATAACTCTTTTAGAAGTAAACAAATATTTACGATATTAGAATTATAAATACATTAAAGACATTGAAAAGAGGGAATAGTTTACTTCAAATATTAGAATTATCAAAATACATTGTACGTGATACCTTTTTAATCAATACAAAACCTTTACAGAAATTTCTGTCATGAAAAGGACAAGGAACAAATTTATTTATTTTTTCCACTTAAGTTCACATTAACACCTGATTCATAATGTCATGCATACAAAAATATTAAATAATGTGTTATTCTATGCCAATTTAAATTTCAAGTGAGTGATTTAAGATAAGACTTGTTAATTACAATAATTTTACCAGCACAGCAACTATTATCACAGCTGTAATAATTACCATAATTGTTATTAAAAACTAGTTATTCTACGAATCAGGCAATTCTGTTGCTTTTTCTAATAAAAATAGATGGTAAGAAATTCATTTCTTGCTTCTTACTCGGTATTAAAAGAGATTGTCGTGAGGTTCTTGAAATTAGTTTGGGTCCGCTAAAAGAGTAACCCAAGTTTTGGTTGTTTACAATAAAACATTTTCCTAGCTCTTGCACTGGATTTCTTTTAACGTATTGAATTTTATTAAAAAGAAAACCCAAACCAATCGTCTTGGTTGTTTTGTTTTAAAATTAAGTTGTGTTTGTTTCATTTGCATAGATTACATCTATCAAATGTAGTGAAATATTAATGGGGAATATATCAGTAGTCATGGCAGCGATCTAGCAGGAATTTGACCTTGAGATGATCTCAGCTGATTAGTTGACCACAGCTGACCACGTGACGTCAGTAGGTGTTTGTATTAAATAAATTATTAAATTAAATATTAAATTATGGATAAAAAGTGTTGGCCTGACCGGGTTTCGAACCCCGGTCTTTTTGCTGGTAGTTGGAGTCGTTACCATATGAGCCACAACAGTAATTATGGGTATGGAGTTTTATATCGGTAAATGACACCTTATACCTATACCTACTCTTGTACCTTGCATATACAGGGTGTGTATTGGAGATTTGATTTTAACATGGTTCACGGGTTCGAATCTAACCTATGTTAGAGGTTCATGGGTTCGAATCTAACTAATGGTAACTGAGGTTTACTGGTTCAATCCTAACCTATGCTAGAGGTTTATGGGTTCGAATCTAACCAACCACTAATGGTAACTGAGGTTTACTGGTTCAATCCTAACCCTATGCTAGAGGTTCACGGGTTCGAATCTAACCAATCACAAAACATGTTATTAGAGGTTCATGGGTTCGAATCCTAACGCACAGCTGTTTATTTCAGTTGATCATGTGACTTAGTTTAGAGGTTCATAGGTTCAATCCTAGTAGGTCTGGAAAAAAACACTTTATATAGTGTATAACGCTTAAGCGGAGCTTTACCGTTGATCATAATTGGTAATTGTTGAATGTTATATTATATAGTGTATAATAAATGTGAAATAAACAGATGTTAAAAACAAAAAAGATGTTGTTAAACAAAAAAGAAGATTACAACAATTCAATAATTTTCAAACTTATAAACCACCTAGAAGATCAATGTGGCAACAGCGCAGAGACTTGGCAACGTCGCAGTCCAAGAAGAGAAAGCTCTAACATTGTAAACTCACCCTATTCTCTGACCGAACCTCCCTACAAATACCTCTTCAAGCTAGTTGTTAGTTAAATAGTGATATATGTAGTGCTTCTGGTTGCGTATGCGTTTGCGCGCTAGGTTTTTTGACTTTACCGTAAATCGTCATCCGACCGAAAATGTAAATATTTGTAAATAGTGTTTGTGTTAAATAGTCTAATGTGATAAACTGTGTTTGTTAAAAACAGCTGAAAGAGGGTTAAACTTTACTATTGAGTATAAAAAATGGTTTTTGTAAAGGCTGTCAAATAGTAAATGAGTTATTCTGGGTTGTTTTTTTGTATAGTTAACTGTTTGTATATGAGTTCTGAAGGTTTGATCTCTTGTATATGTAACATAACCTCACTTTTTACCTATTACTACTGGAGTGCTAGTGTTGATGCAGTAATGAATGTATAAATATATAAGATTTACTATAATGGATTATAACCATGTATTACTTGTACTATATACATCTTTTAAATGTTTTACTCTAAGCTGTTAGAGCTAACAAACTTTTTATCATGTAGCAGTGATTCTTACTATCTCGGTTGATTACGTGACCTCAAACCAACGCTTTGTTAATTAGTACCAACTGATTATATGACATTGGATTGTCCTCTACAGTTGTGTAGTTCATTATGTCTTCTGTGGTACAGCTTCTATTATGGGTAAGTATTAGAAGTAACTATTTATTAAAACTAATACTATTTTGAAATTTGTATTATAATACAAATGTATTAACAATACAGGGTTTTTGAGGTTAAATAAAAACAGTAGATTTTACTCAGAGAAATATATATTTAGCCTATCGGCTATAAATTTTCTGCAAAAGGGACATCTATATACCCTGTGCGCGCAATTAGGGCACAGGGTATGCCCACATGGTTGTAAAGCAACTGTGGGGGCATTCTCTAGGCAAATCTGACACGTTACCAAATTAATTGGGGGATTTGATGGTCGTGGAACTCGTTCTGATATCATAGTGTCTATTTGGCTGGTAGTCTGCCTCAATACACCTTCTAACGTGTTACGGAGGTCCTCCCATAGAGCTGATATAACTGCTGGCTGTAGTCCACAAGCATTTGAATAACCCTCTAATGTATTTCCGGCTAAGCTAGCTACAGCTAGGAGTTCGGTTCGTAGCGTAGCAATCCTACCAGCTGCAGCTGCAGGTAGGGTGAATTCCGGGTTATTCACAGCCTGAAAGATATTATACAAGAATTAATGTTTTTATCTATTTATATAAAATAGTATAAACCATAAATCAGCTGGTTAGTAAAATTTATTACAGTAGTATATAATAAATCTCTCAAGCTGGAGGTAAACAATAGTTAAATTTTGTGTGGAAAGTTTAGTGTAAACATATTAATTTATTTATACTTAATTTCTCTTTAAAGGATACCTACCCTTTGAAGTAACCTCCTGCGAAAGGTTTCAAGGCGAGCGCTCTGCCGGCAGCTGCGACATTCATGTGTTTCAGGTATAGTTGAAGTAGAATTCTGAAAATAGAAACATATATATTAAGCTGATTTTTATTTACTTCGATATATAGTTGATTTATCATCAAGGTAATATTATATTTGGATCACTCATTTAATAGTTAATCTGTATCATATAAAACTGGGGTAGCTTTCTCTTCTAATTTAAATTTATTGTTGAAGGAATAAAAATAACTGAATAAACCTCTGTTATAAAAACATATACTACAGATTTATATAAACATTTGTAGATTTAATAATGTAGTGTTTAACTAATATTCTTTCTATAGATTTGTATAGGTGAAATATTTGTTTAAGTACTATATCAAGTCCCAATAAGTGGAAAATAATATGGTTTTATAAACCAGGTGTAGCCCACTGTTGGAATTTAAAACTTATTAGAACTAAAAATATATGTGTTGAAGTAACTTTGTGATTAGTTAACTAATGCAACTCTATTTAAGTGTAACAGTTTATTAGATTAATAGCTATAAAGATTAATAAGTTTGATAAATGTGGTGTTTTATTTTTAAATCTTTAAAAAAGAGATAAATAATAACAGAAAAAATCTAATACCTGTAATTGTATCTCAACACTTTTATTTGTTGTATATATAAGAAATTTATCATTAGTAACTAAAGCAAGCTTAGGAAGCTAATATGTTTAGTAGAGTTAAAACCATTGAAGTAATTACTTAACTATATCAGCAAAAAATAAAAAGTATGTTGAGTTGAATGATTTGATTTTGAGTTTGTTCTTACAGGCTATCGGTATTACACTTATATGTCTTGTAATGTTAAAATACTTATTACAGGTTGTATATGTTGGGGAGATTGTGATGGACCGGCTAATTCATCAGCTGTTGGCCGCTGTCTAGCAACACCAGCTGGGGTATTCACTGTTGAAGGTGTCTGGGATATAGCTGAAGTTGAAGGTAGTGTAGGTCTAACGATATTACCTATATCGGAAGATGGCTATTGAAAACAAAATAAGTATTAGTAATAGCTTAGGTAGTAATTACTTGATTACATCAGTAAAAAAAATGTCGAGTTAATTAAATTGATTTTGTTAAAATACTATAATAATTTGTACTTGTTTCTACATGTATGTTTTATTAAACAGAACCTTACTGTTGAGCATAAAAGAATATTAAATATGTAGTAGTATTGGATGTTTATAATAAATGTGGAACAAACGATAATTTATCTATCTGATGTTAAAAACAGCTAAAAGAGGGCTTAACTTTATCATTAAAAGCTACTAAATATAGTAGCTTCGACTTGAAGGTGGTTGATAATTATCTAACTTCTTTGGTAATTATCTAACTACATCAGTAAAAATAAAAAAAATGTCGAGTTAATTAAATTGATTTTGAGTTTGTTCTTACAGGCTATTAGTATTACACTTATATGTCTTGTAATGTTAAAATACTTACTACAGGTTGTACTCGTCTAGAAGGGTGGGATGGTCCAGCTAATTCAGCAGTCATTGCTCGCCGCATTGCAACATTAGCTCGTGTATTAGACGACGACCTATCTACAGATAGCCATACTCCATCTGTTGAAGATGCCTGGGATACAGCTGAAGCTGGAGGTATTGAATGAGGTGTAATAGGAGGCACTAATAATGTAGGTCTAACAACAGAAACTATTGTTGGTGAGAGCTGTTGAAAATAAAATAAGTATTAGTAATAGGCGGGGTGTTATTAAAATAATATTAAATTGTTCAGGTAATGCTACCTACATGTTCTGATGAAAACATTCGTAGAAAACTTGAAGGTTCTAGTATTATCATATTTGTAATTTCTTCATGTGGAAATCCAGAAATAGGGATTGAAGCTGAAGGGATGTTTGTTAGGTCCCTCTCATAAAACACACCATCTCTCTGAAACAAATAGTTTAAAATGTAAATAGGTATAAGATTCTCTTAAACTATAAAAATCTTTTTTTTGTCTCTATATAACTCACCATAAGAATTCGTAGAACACAGGTAACATCGTTAATCCTTGAAGTTATATAATAATCCTCAACTAACAGCTCCTGCAAAGCTGTTGTATAAAGCTCGCTTACACACCTCTCAGCATAATCTTGGTCTACTTGCCGGAAGTTGGTGGGTATAGCAAGTCTAGCTATAACTTCTTCCTGAAACACAATCTTAGCTAAATAATGATATACAGTATAAACATATATAATATAAATTATATTTTAATATTGTTTTAAAAATATTTAAAATGTATTTTACCGAAAAAATGTGAAGAACTATCCCTCTTGTGTGTACGAACCAAAGGCCAAAGTTATTTGATCTGTTAATCTGAAACATAAAATGGTTATAATATAATCCTAGTAAATATTTGTTGTATTGTTTTTGCTTGTATATTTTTGGACTTTTTAAATACTTCTTTTAAAATATTTCTTACTGAGTCTCCATGGGGTAAAAGCACTCGTTCTGTATTTAGCCGCCTACGTCTAGTGGGTGGTGGTGAAGAACTCTCAGATATCTGTAAAAATAAAGCTTATTAAAAATAGAATAATAATAACTAACTGTTAGTTTAACTATTATTGAAATCAACTCATCTGTGGGTTGCTAGACTTTTTTTAAAATTACAACCTTAAACTAAAATTAAAGTTTTAATATTTTTTATCATAAAACTCTGTTACATACCTAGGATTATTTAATATCTAAGATATGTATTATATAAGGAAAACTATAACTTACATTATTTATAGCTCTTCTTTGTTCATTTTGTCTACTCTGTAAATAGAAGAAAATAATATTATTACCCTATTTGAACTAGTAATATTATATAACTCTAAAAGAATTTTTTGTCAAAACATTTTGTTGGTTAGGAATATCTGTGTAGTCTAAATATATACACCTGTGTGTTTAATCATGCTTAACATTATATGTTGTAGCTTTCTGAAATTATAAGGCTCTCTTATAAATAAAAATTAAATCACAAACTATGATCAAGTATATATATAGTATAGTTGAGATAAATAGAACTTGTTTGAAATGTAGAACTTTGTGATTGGTTTGTAATAGAAAAAAAGCTATTAAAATAAGTAGAATTTAAAATCTTGTTTAACAAACTCTAACTAATTCTAATCTATAAATATACTTACAGCCGATCTTAGAATATCACGATCATCTTGAAAGAAGGAATCTCTTGAACTCTGACTTGGTGGAACTACAGATCCAGGGCTTGAAGGTGGTGAATCTATGATGCTTGAATTTGGGCTTGATGGTGAACTAGCTGGTGAGTTGTTTTGTATAGGAGTTACTAAATAGTTATCGATCTGATCATTTATGTGTATCCAGTTTGTATTAGCTGTAAAACGCCTTGTTGTTGTTTGCCAAGCCCAAATAGGGTTGTCTTGAAGTGTATACATTCTGATCAATTGCCAATTATATCCATCAATGTTTTCATGTATGATAACTATACAATTAGAGGGACCTGCTCCTTGTATTTGTATTTCATGTATTAGTTGTTGCGCTGTTTGCTAAAAAAACAAATAATTAAATTATATAGCTGATTAAAATATAAACAATAATCTAGAAACTTTTAAAACAGCTAGAGCAGAGCCTAAGAGTATAAGACTAGTTTGCAACATATTATTTATATAGATTATAAACATGTTTGTTGCTTAAATTATAAATACTAATAACTTTTAAAGAGTTAACTTAATCACCTCACTATAGTCATCAAAACTAAAAACAAATTCTTAAAGCTCTTGTGTAATTGATTACTGTGTAAAATCTGTCTAAATAAAAGGTTTAGTAAAATATATTTGATTTAGAGTAAAGTTTAAGATATGAGAGGTGACAAAAATACTTAATCTTGATATATTGTAAAAATCTAATTATATATATTCAAGTTATATAGCTTACCCAGGTAATTGGATAAAAGTTGCTTAATACATGTGGCGGGGAGCGAGGCGGTAAAAGTGGGTTAGCTTCTAAAATGAGAAGATGGCCAAGATCGTTTTGAAAAAAACTATCTGTCTCCATAGCAACAAATGGCTGAAAACATAAGTAGAATTAAAAACCTAATAAGTTGAATTAAACACTTAGATAAGTAGAAGTTTATCTATATAAAGCTTCTACTTACAACAAGAACAGAAGATTCAGCCTCTCTTAACATATCTCTTAAGTGTGAGTTAAGGACAATCCTTTTTGATATAGGTGCTTGCCGAACATTAGGTCTTGCAAGCAGTTGACGTTCTTCATTAAGAGTTATAGATGCACCATTTCTCTATAAAAAACATATTATGATTAATAAAAAATACTTTTTAAAAGAGACACATTATATAAATAAAATTACAGTTTTGTCTGTATATCGGATAAAATTATAAACTTTTTATCTTTTGGTTTTTTGATTTCTGATAACTAGGAAAAAGACTTTGAAATAGTGTTGTATATAGGTGGGAAATTATATTTTTAAATAAGCATTTTTAGTCAAGATTTAGTATATAATTGATAGATAAAACTGATAGTAAAAATAAAAGTAGGCCTATTATGTTTTATTTGTCACCACTGGTGGTTTAATTTTGTTAAAGTGCATCTCATGTGATAGGATATATTAGGGTTAACTAGTAGATACAGATAATTAATCTTTTTATTGATTATTATATTGGTTTAAAACAAACAACATAAATTAAGTTATATATAATAGTTAGCATATCTAAAAATACATAAACCAACTGTTTTATAAGGTTTTAACTAAATACTATAAAAGTTTTATATTACACAGCTAGTGATTATATATTTTTAAATAAAACCTACCATTAATCGAAGTAAAGTCCAGACAAGATTAGGATATTCTTGTGATGACTCTATGATATGGACTCCAGTTTGTTCGGGAGGGTTACTTATTGACCACATATCTCGAATCCTATTTTGAGCATATTCCTAAAAAACCATACATATATAGATTAAAAATAAAGAATTAGACAAACTACTTCTACTACTATTAGAGGTACTTAAACTACATAGAGACCTACATACCTCAGAAATTGTCCAGAAGCCCGTAGGTATAGGTGGTATTAGGTCTAGATTATCATAGTCTAATGTGACAAAGGAAAGGACATCCCCATGCACATTAATGAAGTAATGTTCCAAGTCAGCATTGTAGGGATATTGATCCAAAAAGGTCTCCAAACCACCGCCCCACTGTAATAACAAATATATATTTATACAAAAGTTATGAATTAACTATCAAATTAAACTATAATTTAGCTCACAGCCCTAATTAACATATAGGCAAAATTTTATGAATATTTAAAGTCAGCTGTTGGTAAAAGTTGGTTCTATGATATACATTAAAATTACCAATAGGGTGCAGTCTATTATATTTATAAAAACAGCTTCAGCATGGACAAAAATATACAATGAGAACTAGTAAAATTGTTTACAGTTAGGTTTTTAAATTTGTGATATCTTTTTAGGTTAAATAATAAAACATTATAGTAAATGTGTATACAACAAATATAAATAAAGATGAATAATAGTTTACTTACAGTTTCCAAAATTGATCGTTCTCTTTCATCTCTTGTATCTCCTTCTATTGTTGCCCTATCCTATAAAAACATATTCATTGATAAAAAAACACTAACAAAGAGCTTTTCCTAATTAAAAATAAATAATTATTTTATAATAAATATATTAAAAAACACAAAGCTACTTTTAATTATTTATCTAAAGTTGTATAATTATATAGTACTACTTACTTGACCATTTGGGGGCAGATTTTCATCAACTGCTTCAGAGCTGATTAGTAGTCTCAATACAAGTAGTATGAAGAATAATAACACCATATTAGCTATGATGAAAACTAACATAACAATAATCCATATAGCAGCTACAGCTTATATTTATATGATTGGAGGGAGGGAACATCTGAGTTAACCACATTTTCCACCTCCTTCCTAAGACAGTATTATCTGTCACTATTTCCCCTCCTCTCCAAAGCAATATTATCTGTTACTATCATCATTTTCTAACAAGATGCCTAATGGTGTGTGCTGGAGCTGTCGCCGCTATGTCTTTTGTTGCTCTATTGAAGAACACTGGGGAGAATGGCTTCCCCTTTGTTGCCAGTACGTATCTTTAAACTTAGTTTTTAAAATTTATTTCTCAAGGGTTTTTAACTTTATGCTGATTCTAATACTCTTTTAAATGATTTATAGATGCAGCGATATGACAGCAGAGGAGATCCTAACTGTCCATTATGGACAGTTTAGGGAATATGTGGCAGAATGCAGCCACGAACTGGAAGAGGAGGAAGAAGAGGAGGAAGAAGAAATAGAAGAAGATGAAGGAATCGAGGCTGATTTAGAAGAAAATTGGTAAATTTATTAAATATATTTTCACTTAGGTGACACAGGTTTAAGTTTATAGTAGGATCATTATTTTATATAACCATATAAAAACATATATAATGTCTAAAGTTTAAATATCACAAATATTTTAGGGTCCACTAAATCCCTACACATATATTTTTACATAAAAACATACACTTAACTAATTAACCCGCCCCCGACTAAGTTATTTGTCCAGTTAAAACTAAGCAAATTTTAACTTATATTTTTACTAAAAATATTTATCTCTAATTTAAATATCATTAAATTTAACAAACGCTTAGGGTTGCTACAGCAGAGAGTAGTAAAAGTATTTTTAACTTTAATTGTATAAAATGATATAAGCAAACTATAACAGTTTACAATTTTCTCCATAAAAATAACATAGAAGTAACTATTTGGCACACAATAATGTTTTAATCTACTAAATTATTTTTAGGTTAAAAACCTGTTTTACTTTATAAAACTCTTGGTTCAGCTATGTTGGTGGCCTCTAGGGTTATCAAAATAAAATTGGTTCTAGGTCTTATTATAATATATTAGCTTATTTCCTATATAGAAATTTTGCTAAAACCAAAATTTTTATACAACTTTTACTAATTTAAATGATAAAAACTTATTAACAATTAAACTAAGTATTTTAAAACACAATTGTTATACAAATTGTCAAACAGCTACAATAGTTTTGACAATAACTTTCCTTAAAGATGTTTTTTTTTACATAATAATAAATATAGACTATAATAGAGATCAAGATATATATCATTTTACTTTATTTATATTGAAACTATAATTATAATATCCTACTAAAATATCAATTTCTTATCTATATTATAAATTTAAAAGTTTGTGTGATTATATATATTACTCTTAAACAACTAAATAGATTAAGCTAAAGTTTAACACAATAATATATATATATAGCCTCAAATATATACATATTTTATGAGTATTTAAAGTTAGCTGTTAAATCTATACATTAAAAATTATAAAATTCTCTAATAAGGTATAAGGTATTTATCTTTGTATTTATAAAAACAGCTTCAGCAAAGACAAAAATATATAATACTAGCTGTACCTATGGGCTTTGCCCCGTTTAACTTTATAAGTGAGCTCGTTCGCATAGCTCAATCACGTCCTGGTTGAAGTTCGTTCGCTACGCTCATTCACTTTTAGGCTGGAACTCGTTCGCTGCGCTCACTTGCCTTCAGATTAGCTCGTTCGCTACGCTAACTCGCCTCCAGGTTGAAGTTCGTTCGCTATGCTCACTCACCTTTTGGTTGCAGATTAGCTGTTGTCATATATTTAAAAAATAGTGCTACACCCTGTTGGTAATCCTTGTAACTTTAATGCTATTGAACATCATAGAACAGAACCAACTTGTTTAATAGAAACAGCTGTTAAGATTCATTAATTCCTTTTAAATATGAAAATCATAAGGTTAACATAGGAAACTCCAGAGCCACTGGGGCGGAACCCGAAAGCCCGATGAGAATAAAAACTACTTAGTTTTCCTATTTAATGCCCGAAGAATCAGTCTACCGAATTTCAGCCTCCTAGGTAAATGGGAAGTGGGAGAATTAGTGATGAGTGAGTGTGTCAGTGAGGGCTTTGCCTTTTATATATTTAGATAGATAGATAAACAATAAGTAGGATTGTTAACAATTAGATTTTCAAAATTGTGATATCTTTTTAGGTTAAATAGTAATATTCCAACTAAATTACAAATTAACTTTTGTCCTTCATTAATGCATAACTTGAGTATAACTGCAATACACCTTATATGCTAACCCAAAATAGGTATTTTGTTAGTAAAATAAATCACCGAGATTTACTTATAAATATTTTATACAATAGTATTATATTTTTAATTCCCCAATAAATTCTCTATAATTTTATATATCTCAAGATTTTTTTTTGTAAAGATTACACAAAATCATATTCGACATTGGTTTTACCACAGATAATAGACCGGATAAAACATGATAATAATTGGCCATTTTTATAATTCTTATCTGACCCTATGCCACTAAAGATATCAAAGTCCGTTACAAGAAACCATACATCCTGTTGTACTATCCTCATCGTTATCGAGTACACTTATCACAGCGGATGTGTGTTTTTATTTAGATAACCCTTTCCGCCTGACAAATAATTTATATCTAGTATAGTTTTTCCTTATAAAAATTATATATACACATCTTTTAGCTTTATATTGGATAGGGTTTGAGACTATCCCCTCATTAAGTGAGGCCAAGTTAAACGTTATACAACCTATCCAGTTTATAATATTATATACCAGTTTATAATAGTATATAATATTATATTGGTTGATGTTGTTTAACGTCCTCTCCTTTATTTATAAAGCTTTTTTTTGTCAAGTCTATAGATTTAGTTATATAACCCTACCAAAGTTAACATTCAAAGTTTGCGGGCGGTTTAGTTGGCCTCGCCAGTGACTTTCACTCATGGTTTACGGGCTGTTTCGTTGGCCGCGCCAGTGACCAATAACATTCACACAAATACAAAGAGGGGCACAGGTTCTATCCAATCTGAACCCCCCAGTGTACACACATTCACACAAGTACAAGGAGTAGCACAGGTTCTTCTAAATCTGAACTACTCAATGTACACACACACTCACACCTTGGTCAGGTTACATAAGTATATATCTATAGACTTGTTTTTTTACTAGGAGAGCTATATACAGTTAAATTTACAATTACATTTACAAAGTTATTTACAAAGAAGTTTACATTTACAATACAATTTACGTGGCTCTTTGGACTTTTCTATATCCAAAAGGTAAAGTGTCATATTGACCTTCGTACCTCCTTTTAGGACCAGTTATTTTAAACACTTTGCTCTCAGCGATGGTGACGATGTCTCTGTCTGTAGTCCTTCTGATTCTACTTTCTTCAATTTCAACAGTCTGTTTTGCTTCACTCAGAACCATCTCTTTTAATTTTTCAAAATTTACAACTTTTGATGTTTTAAAGTTAAGGGTGAGGCCCTTGATTTTACATATTGGGATCAATTTTTGTTGATTGGTTGACCAGACAAGGTACGCGTAAGTTTTAGGCCCCCCAGAGACAAACTCAGTAATGTATGAGCCGGGTCCATACTCTACTAATTCGTCAGTCATTTCACCGAGGTAATCTCCTGTAGACACCCTATAAAGACCGTTTCCATATATGTAAACAACACTGTCAGTATCATAATATAATACTTGAGCTCCTAGGGCTTCAAGATGTTCATAGAGCTTGAGTCTCGCCTGCGAGGTAGTGTAGGCCGCAATACAAACGTTTATGTTACCAAGAGGTTCCCCCACTTCCTCTAAATACTCCCATGAAACTACAACAACCTCATCATTAACAATCTGAATTCTGTTTACTTTAATTTCGGGGCTAGAGAGCATTTGAAATAATGTTTTCGAGTCTCTAACAATAGTAGCCTTAGTTTGATTTTCCCTCTGTCCAAATTTTCCCCAAAAACTGTTTAGCATTAATTTTGCCAAAGATCTCAAACCTCCATTCTTAACAATCTTTTCTTTCTCCAACTTAATTCCCTCGTGTCCCAAATACTCTGCAATATACTTATTTTTGTCCTCCTCAGTCTTACACCATTCCGGATAGCCCGAAGCTTCCTGTTTCATCTTAAGAAATTTATTGATAAAATCGGTGAACAAACCCCCATTTTCATAAGTCGCTACCTGATACTCCCACAACTCATACATATCCAATACAATATACCCTTTCTCTACTGCCTTTCTGATTTCATCCATTGTCCATGTCCCAACTAACGCCCTATTATCACTGTCATGATTACACTCTCCCTGATACATCATTTCCCCACACGTTCTACACAACACAAACATCAATTTATCATTCATTTTTGTAGGGAGTACAGGGTGGTAGAGATCACGAGGCGGCAATACTTTACATTTTAACAAACCCTCTACACCCATACCTCTTTCACGACACTCCCTGTCTCCTACATAGATGGTTGGGTGGCCTATGGGGTACTTCCCATACTTACAAACATAAGGGTATAGGGAACAAACATCGACATACTGTATAGTTTCCCCCTCAACACATTTGTGATACGATTTTGCGTTACCCGTCCTACCTCCAAAAAAAGCCTGCCTTGGATCAAGTGGGAGATTGTTTAAGATAGGCAAACTATCCAGATATTTAAGCTGCTGATCTTTTTTTTGTTTACGAAATTCGCATTCCCACATCTCTACTAGTGCGTGTTCTGTAAACTTTGCATTTTTAGCCTTGGTTCGCTCATAGCGAAGATGTAGGCTATCAGAAGGATCCTCTTTTAAAGGAGCGTGACGGTTGTAAGGAAAACATTTAACACACCCGTGGAAATAACAGCCATTAAATTCGTAGATGTTCCTGCCATCAAAACCATCTACTTTCATTCCATTGACTTTGACTTCTTTACCTCGACCTGCGTGGTCAATCCTAATCCCGTTGGTTTCCTCGACCCAAGAAAGCCATTGGAGCGCTATATTTGATTGATTGTCTACTAATCGATAGCCGTTCTTAGGGATAAGTCCGATAGTATTGGGTTTCAGGAAATTACGGCGGAAAGCTAGATTACAAGCACTCGCAATGGTAACAGCCTCGAGAAACGGGTCAACATTACACTCTTTTAGAAAAATTGAACGAAACTTTAGACAGGCTTGGGCTAAGATATCAACATCTGAAATACAATAGGCTAGGATCTCATTTTTAAAGTTGAACTCATAGTTACTAATGACCTGATTGCTGTACCATTTTTCAAAGTCATTGTAAGATTTCTCAAACATAGATTCGGGACAGTAGTACTTTTTGTCTGGCATAGGGCCTACATAGTCTTGGTTTGCCAGAGTATTGAACAGGTGGGGAAAGTAGCCTTTCTTTTTCTCTGGAGGTAGGTCAAAGGCTTTAGGCAGAGCAGACAGAGCCATAGGGAAGTAGCTAAGGGAGTCAACAAACCTCACATTATCAATTTCCATTAGAATGATTTTAGTTCCCCGCATTACAAGTTCCGGTGTGAATTTTGTTTCTTCCAACAAGTACTTTAACAAAAATTGAAAGTCAAATCCCTGCCCATTGTGTGCAATTACACAGATTTTTTTAAACTGTTTCCTCACTGACATGACATAGTTCATAAACTGATTGATAGGGTCAGAGTCAAACACTCGTGTACGATTTTTACATGCTATACAGAATTTCCCCTCAATACACTGATAACAAAATTGCTGGGACACACACAAGTTTACTTTATGCACTTTACTTTCAGGGTCAGAGGGCAGAGGCTCATCCTGACGGGTTTCCAAGTCAAAGAAAATAAAAGCATAATCTTTAGATTTAGGTTTACCCTCATTAGGTTTCATATAACATTTATGGTTAGGATCTTTAAATGCTCCACAAGGTTTACAAAATATTTCCCCACACTTATGTGGGGTTGATCGTCCCCTAAGCAAAACTAGTTTCCCGCAATCGAGACATTTCTTTACATGTTTACACCTATCAACCTGATGCGCAATGAAACAGCGTTGGTTTTTATAAGTTAGATTGCATTTAGGACACAAGATTCCCCCATACTCCTCTACACAAGGAGGTGAGATGGTTTGACAACAAGGACAAATGTTTGAACATCTGTGGGCTCCTTTATGATCATACGGGACATGACAACCATCACAGAAATGGTTACATACAAAAGCAGCCGTCAGACTAGTAATTACATTGTAATGTCCATTATGAAACAACAAGTTAATTTTGAACTTGGGGTTCTCTATACTACCCTCAAAATACACATCACGGCCTTTAACATTATAGTTGTACACAGTGATTTTATAATCTTTAAGCAAATGTTGGAATTTTTCAAGTTCGGGAATGCCTGCACCACCCTCAGGCATCACAACTCTAGCTCTACGTACAAGTTCTTGAGCCCTAACAGTCTGTCTTTTTCTGTCATCTTGTTTCACAGCTTTGTATTCTGGATCTTTAGTTACATTAGCTATAGCCACTACAATAGCACAAGGAAGACACAGGTTATCTTTATTGTTAATTACAACAATACCAGTCCTAGCTTTACATTCTTCATCAAATGTGTTATACAAGCCTGGTCTTTTGCGGCACCCTGAACCTACAGGTAGATTAACTCGGGTACATTCAACTTGAAACGTGTCTGTGGACTTGATTGATTCAGCGTTACTTTGGACAATTCCCCCAAAGATTTGCCACAAGACATCCTCGTTTACTTCATTTGCTGGTCGAAAAGCAACAAACCCTGGCTCTTTACTTTTTAGGTTAAGTGAACGCAGAGTGAATCCCAATTGGTCGCCCTCCTGACAAACTTCTTTCATTTCATTTACAATTTGACCAAACCCTTGTCTTAGCCAGTCAATCTCACTAGTTTCTGGTGGGGGATTAGAAAACTTAAAAACAGTATTAATTCCATGAATGCGAAATCTCTTTACATAATTTTCATGTTTATCTAGAATATTTACAGGGACAATTACTTCAACAGAATCTTCTACAACATTTACAGGTTCATTATTATCAACAGATTCATTGGAATCTACTGGAGCAGAGTTACTTACATCCATCATCTTGAAGCACTGGGAGCAAAGTGATGCAATAATGGCAGGGTTGCGATAAGAGTTTATATAGGGACAAAGATAACCACAAATGTGGTTATCAAAGGTGACGTGGTACACAAGAGGAAGTGATAGCTGTTTTTAGATGATGCAATACCACAAAAGTGGTTATCAAAGGTGGTTATCCGGTTGTGATTTGGTACACAGGAAGTGATAGTTGCTATTTTAGATGATGCAATACCATACAGGATGTAGACATTATATTTAATATTATATACTATATAATTATTATATACTAATTATGTTTATTATTTGTTTCAGATGGCTGCCCCTCTCCTCCTCCTCTACTAGCATTAAGTATTTAGTTATAAGTTTGTGTAAATAATATAAAATAGAGTAATATAAGTTTGTATATATAAATAAATTCATATTTAGCTTTCACAGTTGTTTTCATTATTCTTTCAACTAAATATCCAACAAGTTTTAAAATTACATAATCTAATAGGGGGAGGCAATGGAAAATTGGCAAGAAAGCATATAAGACAGAAGTGAGGTTATGTTACAAGAGCACCTAACCTGTAGTTGGCTATACACTAGTGCTGTATCCTAGTAGAGAATTTATAAACTAATACCATCAACACTTAGTAATCTGTTATGATGAATCTTATATTAAGTTAATCATTATTATAATTATACCATCAACACTAGCACTCCAGTGGTGAATTAACAAAGTGGTTTGAGTAAAAAGTGAGGTTATGTTACATATACAAGAGATCAAACCTTTAGAACTTATATACAAACAGTTAACTATCAAAAAAAAACACCCCTACCGGAAATGATTGGTGATTGGTAAGGATTAAACCCATGAACCTCCAGGACTCACACTACAATACAAAGAACTCATTTAACATAGATTAGATGTAAGTTTAACATATGATATTTGGTGGCCTTTACAAAGGCCCTTTTTTATACTCAATGGTAAACTTAAGCCCTCTTTCAGCTGTTTTTAACATCTGTTTGTTTCACATTTATTATACACTACAACATATATAAAATAACCTCCAATACTACTACACATTTAACATTCTTTTATGATCAACGGTAAAATTCCACTTAAGCCCTCTTTCAGCTGATTTATATTTATTATACACTATAAAATAACCTCCAACATTTACCATTATGATCAACAGTAAGGTTTAAGCATTATACACTATATAGAATAGTTTTTTTCCAGACCTACTAGGATTGAACCTATGAACCTCTAAACTAAGTCACATGATCAACTGAAATAAACAGCTGTGCGTTAGGATTCTCCCACTATAATAGCATTAGTGGTTGGTTAGATTCGAACCCGTGAACCTCCCGCTATAATACAATACCATTAGGTTAGTATTAAATAACCGGAAATGATATATTTTATGTTAGGTTAGATTCAAACCCGTGAACCTCTAGCATAGGATAGGATTGAACCCGATAACCAGAAATGATATATTTTATGTTAGGTTAGATTCAAACCCGTGAACCTCTAGCATAGGATAGGATTGAACCCGATAACCAGAAATGATATATTTTATGTTAGGTTAGATTCAAACCCGTAAACCTCTAGCATAGGATAGGATTGAACCCGATAACCGGAAAAGATATATTTTTTTATGTTATTTTAGATTCAAACCCGTGAACCTCTAGCATAGTTTAGGATTGAACCCGATAACCGGAAATGATATATTTTATGTTATGTTAGATTCGAACCCGTGAACCTCTAGCATAGGCTAGAATTAAATAACCGGAAATGATATATTTTATATTAGGTTAGATTCGAACCCATGAACCTCTAGCATAGGCTAGAATTAAATAACCGGAAATGATATATTTTATATTAGGTTAGATTTAAACCCGTGAACCTCTAGCTCTAGCATAGGCTAGAATTAAATAACCGGAAATGATATTAGGTTAGATTCGAACCCGTGAACCATATTAAAATCAAACCTCCAATACACACCCTGTATATGCAAGGTACAAGAGTAGGTATAGGTATAAGGTGTCATTTACCGATATAAAACTCCATACCCATAATTACTGTTGTGGCTCATATGGTAACGACTCCAACTACCAGCAAAAAGACCGGGGTTCGAAACCCGATCAGGCCAACACTTTTTATCCATAATTTAATATTTAATTTAATAATTTATTTAATACAAACACCTACTGCACGTGGTCAGCTGTGGTCAACTAATCAGTTGAGATCATCTCAAGGTCAAATTCCTGCTAGATCGCTGCCATGACTACTTATATCAATCTTAAAACACTTCAAGTGCAGGTAATTGTTTGTACTGATCTAAAGAGCTGTATCTGACGTTAGGATTATCACTAGACAATAAGTTGAGTGAAGCACACAATAATATGTCCAAAACACTAAAAAATAATTGAAACTCTTTCGTTAATGATTCCTCTTAATTTAATATGTAGTTTCTAATGTATCAATGGTGATACAGTTTAGTTGGTTAACCTGTATAGTCCTACTACAAGCAACAGATAATTATACTAAATTTTAAAAATAAGTTGAATGGTATATTAGACCAACAGTTTTGGTTGCTCTGCGTAATATTTAGAAGAATAATAAACTTTATTTGATTACAATTAAAATGATATGTCGTCATAAAAAATTCCAATTAAACTTTTGTTTAATAACATTTTATTATATTTGTGATATCTGTTTAGTTTAGGGTGGGGGGACATTTCAAAACGTGTTTTTTTTAGCGACTTTCCCATATAGGGAATAAGCAATTACCGCAGGTATCATGGTAAGACCTAGACCCGGGACCAATTTACTTTTTCGTTTGAAGGTCTCCAGAGGCCAAAACACCATCCGTTCAAATTCATATATTTTTATATATACAGGGTGTCCCACGTAAGGTGTCTCAAATTGATTACGGAAAAACGACTTAACGTACAAGGATGAAATAAAACTATTTCCGGCTAGATCAACCCCAAGGAATAACGTAAAAATATTTTCAACTTTTTCCGATACAGGTTGTGCCAAAAACTGAGGGTCACTAGTTCGAATCTCGGAATTTTCAAATGTAAACGTATGTCTTGTTATGCATCATTTTAAAGGTATTTAATAGACAAACATTTTGGCGGAAACATAAATGAACAACCACGAGCAACTGTAGTACAACTGTTACGGTCGTATTTTTCCGTTTCAAAATGGCGGCAGTAGTAGAGTGGGTATGGGGTTTTAACAGGTGGGATGGAAGTTTGGAAGTCCGAAAAAAAAACGTAACAGTGCTGTTTTTTTTATATGTTTTATTAAATAATAATAATTAAATTAATTATAACATGCTCATCATATTATAAAATTATCATTATCATACATTACATATGCTGGCTTATTGTCATCCAGTTGTAAAAAATCATACACATAAAAATTTTTACAGTTTATGAGCGTCCTGTGTGTGTTTGTGTATTAAAACAAAAAAAACCTTTTTAGTTTGTTACTAGCCTACATACCGTATACATTAGTATCTATTTTGTGATGGAGACCAGTGCTAATGCTATGATTATGTTGTCTTTGAATAAAGCTTGTGTTAACCGTAAACGTAAAGACTTACGATGTTTGCTTTTGATTAATAGCGTGTTACAGAAAGCTAGAGAAGTGTTTGTACAGGAGGCATTTTTTGGTGATAGTTTTAATAGCGGAAAAGTAAATTGAGTATAAAATATTTCCAAACAGTGAACCGGACATTGTAGTTGAGACATATAAGGATGTTTATGAGTGTTGAAATAGAAAGTTGTTATTTGTTATTGAGGAACACAAGTTTCACTCATCCTTGAGCGGTTCTATATCTACTCAAATTGACGAAAACAAACTTTCACTTTCACCACCTGGAGGCAAATAAGCCCCTTAAAACCCCTGCCTGCGATGGTAGGAATCACTCAAGCTCGCAGAGTCAACACTCCGACAGTCTACATCTGAGCCCTAAGACACCTCCGAGTATCTACCATGGACCCACAGGACCTGAAGGAGCAGCTAAACAGCGTCAGACAGCCACAGTACACACGGTTGTCCGAGCTGAGGACTGGGATGCTGTACAGAGTCGTCAAGTTTGATCGCTGCACAACGAGACTTGGAGAGGCTATCGCAGCAACGTTGGAGGGACTCATTGGAGATGATTTTTATCTTCGAGTCTTTCTACCGGACCGCTTTAAGGCAGTTCTACCAGATGAGGTGATAAATGCCTACAACAGTGAGGACACCCCTAGATTGTCGCTGCAATACCTGGGGCGTGGAAAGGGTATAGAATTTGTATAAAAATGTAAAATAATGTAACTGAATAAAATTTTCATAAAAAAAATTACATTCCTTTTATTTGTGTTACACCCTATAGTTATTTATATTTAAAAATACTGCTTGTGTTTAAGTAGAACCACTGTTAATCATGGATCCAAGGTGGAAACATCCATTCTCAGCAATCATAGCAGGCCCTTCAGGCTGTGGAAAGTCTCATTTTGTTAGTAAATTTATTGAATATATGAGTATTATTTGTGATACAGTGTTTAAAAATGTGTATTGGCATTACGCCAAATGGCAACCAGGTTATAACTTGGAAAGTGTTGTGTACAAAGAAGATATCCCAAATATGGGCGACTTTGATGGTTCTGAACCTAGCTTAGTTATAATTGATGACTTGATGAGAGAATCAGATAGCAGAGTGGTTGATTTGTTCACAAAAGGTTGTCATCATAGAAACATAAGTGTATTTTTCATAACACAGAACCTATTCCACCAAGGTAGGGGACAAAGAGATATATCGTTAAATGCTCATTATATAGTGTGTTTTAAAAATCCTAGGGACAAGGCTCAAATAAGACATTTAGCTCAGAAAGTGTATCCAGAAAACCCAAAATTTATTCAGGATGCCTACAATGATGCGACAAAAGCGCCTCATGGTTATCTGTTACTTGATATGAAGCAATCAACACCTGATGAAATTAGGTTCAGAACAAGCATATTTCCTAGTGACGTAAATAATTATGTTTATGTTCCTAAAAACCGCAGAGGAAAGTGAATATAAGTCAAGTGTTTGTGTTTTACTACTTCAGTCTATCGCCATGTCTCAAGCGGTCAAAAAGAATATTAACTTGTTACGAGCGATTTCGCTCATGACTCCCAGACAACGTAAAAGTGTTTTAAAAACAGCTGACAAGGACTTGATTCAGTCAGTCTGTGAGTGTGCTTACAATCTGTTGCAAGGTAATGTCAGTGTTACTCCTCAAGTAAAACGAAAACTATCTAAATATAAAGCAGTGTTAAGAAGATTGGTGAAGAAAGGTGAAAAGTTAAAAAGTAAAAAGCGATTTATTATTCAGCAGGGAGGTGGCTTTGTACTACCAATACTTTTAAGTGCAGTGTTACAAGCTCTCCTTAACTAAAAAAAACCTATAATGGAACATGCAAAGAAAATGATAATTATTTCTCCTGATGATCTACAAAGAATGCAAACCAACCCTGAAACCCATGTGAAAAGTTCAGGTAACAAAAGCGATACCGTTAGTGAATTGGATCGTGAAATGTCGAGTCTGCTTAATAACAAGAGTCTTAGTGATCAGGATAAATGGAGTCAATATCAGCAGGTGTTACAGAGATATTGGCATTTTGCAAGTCAAAAGCGAAAGCCTGTTCAGATACCCATCATTGATTTCGAAACACATAAGCACAAGTCTTTAAACACAGATGAGTTGGTTGAAACATTCCCTAAAACATATAAGTCTGATGTTAAAAATTTACTAAGACATATTGGGAAACATCAGGATAAGATAGAATGGGATGATAATGGATTAGTTTTTATTGATGGAGTTGTAGTGGAAAATACCAATATAATTGACTTGTTGCATGATATAATAAGAACAAGGAAAGCTACTCAGCCGCAGGGATGGAAACAGTTTATGAACGTTCTAAAGGATATAAGTACACCTATTGAGTTCATAACCAATCCATTTGCACGAAACTACTATGAAAGACTCAAAGGTTATGTTTCACCAGCAGATAAAAGTATCAAGCCGATGTCAAGTGGAGCAGAAGAGTTCAAGTTTTCACCACGTACACTGCGACCATTGTTTAGTGCCCAAGAAGAATTTGAAACCCCTACAAGATCAACCCCACTTTCAACATCATTTGAACGTAGAAATAGAAAGCAAAAGTGGGACAGCTTTAAGTTCGACTAGATGTCAACAGATTTAGCAACTATCTATTATGACCCTGCACACCCAGCCGGATACCGTGGAGTTGTACCGTTATTGGAAGCAGCGTCTGCAAAGAAGAAAACTGTAAAGGAATGGTTACAATCTCAAGATACATACACACTTCATAAACCAGTGAGAAAAAGATTTCCTCGGAATAGGTATGCAGTGTATTCAATCAATGAACTCTGGCAATGTGACTTAAATGATATGAGAGGGTTAAGCAAATATAATGACAATGTGAACTATATCTTAACTGTTATTGATGTTTTCAGTAAACAAGCGTATGCAAAACCGCTAAAAAGAAAAACCCCTGCAGAAGTTATTCGAGCGTTTAGTTTGATTCTTTCAGAAACGCAAAACCATCCCAAGAACCTACAGTCTGACAAAGGAACTGAATTCACAGCTAAGGAAGTAAAGCAATTTTTCAAAAGTAAAAATATTAACTACTTCACTACAAATAATCCTGATGTGAAAGCGGCTGTAGTTGAAAGATTTAATAGAACATTGAAAACTCGTATGTGGCGCTATCCAACACATAACAATACGTACAGGTATCTAGATGTTTTGGATGCACTGGTGAATTCATATAATCACAGTCAGCATAGAAGTATAAAAATGAAACCAATCGAAGTTGATGAGACCAATTCATTCAGAGTCTGGAAAAACCTCTATGGTGTAAAAGAAAAAGTTGTTAAACCTAAACTATCAATTAAAGATACTGTGCGTATATCAAAAAGTAAAGGTACTTTTGAAAAGGGTTATGAAACCAATTGGTCAGAAGAGGTGTACAAAATTGTAAATGTCATTGAACTTCCCAAACCAATGTACAAATTACATGACCTAAAAAATGAACCAATAGATGGATATTTCTATGAGCAAGAGTTGCAAAAAGTCAATCTTCATGACAACAAGATTTTTAAAATAGATAAAATCATAGCCACCAAAGGAAAAGGTCCCAGTAAGGTTTACTTAGTGAAGTGGTACGGTTATAGTGACGATTTCAACTCGTGGGTGCGTGCTTCAGACCTTCAATCAATATGAATGATCAATTCTACCTCACGCTACCTAGTAACAGTTCCATGGGCTACTATCCACAGAATACAGTAGCAAACTTCATTACTCAACTATCGCGCCCGATAAAGCTGGATGGGTTGCGGGAAGTGGCAATAGTAGAGGTACACTACCCCTGCTCTTTGTTGACTCTTAGTGAAAACAGTGTTATATACATCCATGCGTACCCAAAAGACACATATGAGCGGGTGAAGACCAGTGCTTGGGAAAAAGGTGAAGAACCCAATTATGATTTGATCGCTCCTATGATGGTGGTTGCAACATTGACACCTGGTGATTATATAAATGTTAAGGAAGTCATAGATATGATAAACAAACATGAGGCCATTCGAGATCACACATATTTTAATTATGACGAAAAAACTAAGAGAGTTGAAATCAACAGTCAGTTTCACGTAATACAGATTGAATTGTCAGACAAGCTAGCTCTACAACTTGGTTTCAGCCCTGGAGAAAATGACTTGCTCAAGAATAACCAATCGATTCGCCCAGCCAACCTCAGAGTAGGATTACCCTCTCAAATGTATATTTATTGTGATATTGTGGAATCACAGTTTGTGGGTGATTATATGGCCCCGTTATTGCAAATTATTAATATCGACACAGCTGACTATGTGTATGGAAGTAGTAGATTTATGCAGTTTAACAGTCCCCACTATGTGTCAGTGTTAAAGTCAAGTTTCGAAAGTATGGAAATCGATTTAAGGGATGACACAGGAGCGAAACTGCCATTTAAGTTTGGAACGTCCTGTGTTAAACTACATTTCAGAAAGAAAGCGGACAACTAAGAGAAATGGCTCTTAAAGTTTATGACCCTTATTTGGTATATTACCGTAACCAATTAGGTAGTGGTGTTAGTGTTGTGTACAAAGGTTCTCCATACCAAAGAGGACACGGTATTGGCAGTTTTCTAGGCGGGTTATTTCGCACAATAACCCCTCTGCTACGTTCTGGAGCAAAGACTATGGGTAAAGAAGCTATTAAATCCAGTCTTCATGTGTTGAAGGATGTTATTAATTCAGTTCCTCCAGAACAAGCTATATCTTCTGGTGTCAGGGAATTTACAAGTAATCTGAAACGTAAAGCAGACGAGAAGATTGATAGAGTGATGCAAGGGTCTGGCTATAAGAGGAGGAAAATCAACGTTACATCTCAGTCTTTGAAGAAGCTTCTAGCTGTACACAACAAGTCTAAGAAGCGGTCACCTGTCAAGAAACCGTCTGAAAGCAGTGTGAAGAGGAAGCGAAGAAGCAGTGCTCTGAGTAAAAGAGTGAAAGATATTTTTGGTTAAACAACATGGCATTCCTACATCATCAATCATGTGAGTGTGTGAAATCTGAATTGGACTTGTTTACGCTACCCGCAACACAAACTAGTATTGAGAATGGCAAATGGGTTCAATACAAACCAATCTCCTCGTTAACAGATGATTCACCCATAGAGTTTGTAGTGCCCGGTCATGGTGATGAATACTCTGACTTGTCAAATACAATGCTAAATATCAAAGCATGTATTGTAAAACCTGATGGTACAAAACTAGACCCATTGGTTGATACATCAATTGGTCCAGCAAATAATTGGTTACACTCAATGTTCAGTCAAGTGGACTTGTATGTAAACCAAAAATTGGTTTCACCACAAAACAATACTTACGCTTACCGTTCGTACATTGAAACACTACTCAACTATGATGAAAGTGCTAAAGACTCACATCTATCCTGTGCTCTGTGGTATGATGACAAGTCTGGTGAAATGGATGATTGTGAAAGTAAAAATACAGGTTTGGAAAATCGCAGATATTTTACAAAGTCAAGCAATGTTGTAGATATGGTTGGTCATTAAATGACCATGTGGTAATTTTTGTGGTCAAATTTTGCATGTGGATTTATTCAACCAGGAAAAATTTTTACTTAACGGTGTGGAACTGCGTTTACGTCTAGTGAGATCAAGAGATTCGTTCTGCCTAATGTCCAAAACAGAGAAGTACAAAGTCAAGATTGTTGAAGCAAATCTTTTGATACGTAAAAATAAAATAAATCCTACAGTGTTGTTGGCTCATAGCAAGACCCTGGAAAGTGGAACAGCCAAGTACCCAATAACAAGAGTTGAAGTGAAAGCTATGACCATACCCTCAGGCATTCAAGGCAAGACATTGGACAATGTTTTTCTGGGCCAGCTACCAAAAAGAATAATTGTTGGTTTAGTGAGCAACAAAGCATTTAATGGTGATTTCAAATCAAACCCATTTAATTTTCAATCCTACAAGGTGAACTTCTTCTCACTCTACGTTGATGGAGTCCAGATACCCTCCAAGCCACTGCAACCAGAGTACTCTGAGAATAAGGAATTGTCTGTTATGGCCTATCACACATTGTTCAGTGGGACTGGAATACACTTTCTAAACATGGGTAACAGCATTACTCGCAGTGATTACTCTCAAGGCAACTGTTTAATGGCATTTGACCTAACACCAGACTTATCTGCTAACGCAACCACTCACTGGAACCTCATTCGACATGGTAGTTTAAGGATTGAACTTGGATTCTCCGAAGCTTTAACCGAAACCATCAATTGCATCATTTATGCAGAGTTTGACAACATCATTGAAATTGACAAAAATAGAAACGTAACGGTTGACTATGGGAGTTAAATACAAACACCATGTTTCATGTTATGTCAGTAATACGCCTACAGTCTGGTGAGATGGATCGTAAATCTAGTGTTGTTTTAGACATTCAATGTTTCAAGAATAACGATGGAGGTTACATAATCAAGGAAGTTGCTGCTATAAATTTAGAAACGGGAAATTTATTATTTCATCATATTGTTTGTCCACCGTTTACCCGCAGGCTGTTGACAGCAGAGAAACTAAGAGAAAGTCATTGGGTTACGAAATACTACCATGGCCTTGACTGGAATGATGGTGACATCCTGTACCATGTATTGTTGGAAAAACTAAAAATTTCACTTACTTCAACTATGTTTGTGCTTGTGAAAGGAAGAGAGAAGGCAGAGTTTATTAAAAGTATTTTACCACTTTGCTGTACAGTTATTGATTTGGAATGTTTACACTCTCATTCACTTGATGTGCTCAACAGTTTGTTTGCTTCAGACAGTTTAAGATGTAACAATCATCGTGATAGTTATCACAAGTGTGCATTGTCTAACTGTGTAAACTTAAGAAATTGGCATTTGCTTACTCTAAAATGAACTCCTTGCAAGTAGAGTGGTGTTTAAAGAAGCTACCAATTCAAAATGTTGGTGTATTCCCATCAGACTGTTTACCTATTAGGATTACACCCTCAACAGCGTTTGTAGTCAACACTGACCCACACACCAAGAGAGGCACTCACTGGATCGCAATTTATCTGGATAAACACCAAAGACTGGAATACTTTGACAGCTATGGACAACCACCAACTGTTCCTGATCATGTTAACTTTATAAGAAGAAACTGCTGGCAATACCACTTCAATCACAATATGCTGCAAGGCGAATTTTCTCCAGTTTGTGGACATTACTGTTTAACATATTTGTATTTCAGGTCACAAGGTTATTCAATGCAAGATTATGTATCTCAGTTTTCAATAAATGTTAATCAAAATGATTTCCATGTATGTAACATGTTTGACTATTGTTATAAAGGATTGTAAATAAAAACAAGTATATTTCATAAACATTGTAGTTTATTGTTTTCCTTTTTGGTTATATATGTATACATACAAATAGTTATATTTAAAAAGACATTGTTCAAACATATAAAGGTTGCTTTTTTAGCTCAATTTAACAAAGATTTCAGCACAACTATGATGATACAATGAACATAGTTATATAATAAAAAAAAATATAGTAACACAGTTATACAAAATATAGTAACTGGAATATTTAACTGATTTATGAAGAAAAACAAAATAAAGCTATGTACTCTAAAGTAACTACAAGTTTGACATAGGCTATACAGATATATACAAACTATAAGTTTATTACAATATATACAAACTATACATTTATTACAAAATATATTACAAAAGGTCTCTACAGTTGAAACGTCAATTCTTAGGAATATAATAGAAATAATGGTAATGCCTGAAATTTGTTGCTGTAGGGGGAAACATGTTTTTAAAAGATATCCACATCTAACTCTACACCTGGTGGTATTATATGATGTCCATGGGGAAGGGTTCTAAACCCATCAACATGCAGGTATCTTTTCCCATCATACCCACTTAATGTGAGTTTGTTTTCCCACCGGGTGTAGACCTTGTGTTTCTTAGATCTAAAAGTTGAATTCATGGTATACAAATCATAATTTTCTCTTATACACGTTCTATAGTGGTCAGCCCTAAGTTTATGTTTCACTACAGCCCTAGTGATACCCTTACACTTTTTAATTTCTGCTTCGGTGCCCTGCGGTACAATGCAGTACACCTTTGTCCGAACACCAAGAAATTCGAGAATGAACACACCGTTCATCTCGTCCTTCATCTTTCCCAATACCTTGGCGTTCGTAGGGCTGTAGGCGGGGTTGTCCCTACTCAATCCGCTGGTGTCAAGATGCTGCATCATTGAACGGAACCTATTGTACATGTCCTCAGTGTACAGCTCGACTACAAAACTGTCTGTGTCCATGTACAACAGGCCCACATTCTCCTCACCAAACTCTTTCACCAGGATGTCATAGAAGAACCAATACATCAGCTCTTTACTTATGTCCAAGATACACGAACCAACGTAAAGGGGCTTTTCAAGAACAATACTTGTTTTAGCCAAATGAAGACCAGCCAATGATTCAGTGAATATTGTGCTGTACAGAAAGTTAGGCTTAGCAATATATTTTTCCAGCTTTCTGTTGTCAGACACAAGTTTAAAATTCATACGCTTACGGTAGTTTTCCATAGTCTTCCCGAACACGGAGTTGTTGAACAATTTAAAAAGATCTTTTTCAAAATCATTCTTGGCCTGTTTACGGAGGTTCGTGTTTAGCTCAATGTATGGTTTTAACCATGGAGACTGGTTGAACTGAACGGCTCTGTAAATTTTTTTAAGTTTTAGGCCATGGTTTAGAGCTTGTTTTAAAATACGGTAATGAAGTATGTAATTTGTTTTGGGTTCCAAAGTGGTTAGCAATTTTGGATGTTTGCCACCTGGAGGGACTTTCCTCTCACAAAGGAAGGGTAAGTGTTGGTGAGACCAGTGAAGGGATTGAGGATAGTCAATGTCAACCTCAAGGATGTAACCCACGTCAGCATCGTCAGGCACAGACTCCACCTTCAGGCTATCAATTTGCTCTTGAGAGAGCCAACTGAAGCCTCCTGTCGGGAGATACTGGGACATGGCCCAACCATAAAGGTTATTAGCGTCTACATACGTGATGTATTTAGACGGCAAGGTCGGATCATAGTCATCACAATGTGTGTTGTTGGCCACAGATCTTCTCTTACACACTTGTGAAATACCTCCCCTGATGCTTTTTTCAAAGAATAGGTATATGTCGTGGTCCTGAAGGGTCTCTAGAGTGACGTTAGTTTTGAAAAGCATTGCATCCCAACTGAAACTAGGCAATGTGATGTAGTGGGCAGGGTCAAGTTGGTGGGTCTGCAGACTAGTCTGCCGGAAGTTCTCAAAGATGTCTGTGAGCAACAGAACATCAGTGAGGAGATAGATGTCACTATACTGTCCGAGGTTTTGAACATTGAATGTACTCCACACTCGCTGAGCGTGTTCATACGATTCATCTGAGATTTGCTCTAGGGACAATTTGTTGTAGAACTTGACTTTATCAAGGAGTTGGGTTTCATCTAACTTTGAAGGACATGAGACATACTCATATGGGAACACCCCCTTCCGAGTTAGCAGGTCGAACTGCTCATCTACTGGGAACTGTTTCCTGGTTTCCTTTAGACAATCTTTTGGTAGGGATTCGGCCAACTTCGATAAACTAGATGGGAGAAATCTTAAACTATCCAGGAAACGAAGTTTTAGTACTCCACGGTTGGCTTTTTTAAAGGGAACGTACTTTGTGAAACTAATGTACTTTTCCTCGGAAGTGGGGATTACTGAAATTTCACCGGCATCACAGTCAAGTTCTGGTATGATGAAGTGAGAGTCGTACGAGAGATTGTGAAAATAGCAATTTATCGTGTTCTGCTCGTGAAACTTAAGGTTACACAAGTTGTGGGCAGCACCTCGGAACTTATAGGGAGCGGAATGCATTTGGTCCCTAACCTTAAGGTCTTCGTTTGTAAACACCTCACCACAAATGTGGCAATGCGTTGCTGCCTGAAACAAAGCCTCTTCATCAGGGGAGAGTTGCGGAGTCATGTGCCTGTCACCATACAAGATATCACCGATGTGCAAAACGTCTTTTCTTATGGATTTGACAAAATCTTTTGCAGCATCGTTACCTCTGTACTGGCGGATTGGCGTAAATACACCCTCAGAGTCTTTAACTAGGTAGCAATAGGAGTAGGGGACATGTGTATGAGTAATTGGAGAATCAGCCTGGGAGTCTTGTTCATTAGGTTTGAGATAGGTCTCAAAGTCAGCATAGATCACAAACCGCTTTTTCTGACTTCTCTCAGGATGTTGGAAGGATATGGTTTTGTCAGAGGAAAGGTCCAGGCGCAAAGGTTTTTTGAAACTACAGAACCGTTCATGTTCATCCAGCCTCTGCTGACCACTAAGCCCTAACTTGTTAGGTGTATCTTGAAAGAATGCAAAACATTTTTTACATGTGTAAACCCTACATTTGTGTTTTGTTAACTGAGTACTGACTAACTTATTAAAATCACAAATGTAAACATAGTGGGTTTCTTTATTTTTGTTGGACAATAGCAGTAAATCTCTGTGATCCTCAAGTTCACGATCGCAGACTTTTAGAGGGTACACAGAGCCCTCGTCATCCAAACCAAAAACGTTAATTGTCATGTTATTAGCCTTTTCAAAGATGTGGATATCTTTTAACTTTGCCGGATAATCAATACATTGCCAATTATATTTTTCAAATAAATCACGCGTGGAGCTATTGGGATCTGTTGAGTCCCTGACAGTGACAAACTTTGCAAGCAATGCATACTTAAAACAAAACTCATTGCTGTTCCGTGTGTTGACGACACCTTTAAATCTTTTAGGTAGTGGAATGTAGCTAGATCCTCCCCTGAGCGGAACGTATCTATTAACCCTAACTTCAAATTTTGTAACTTTCAGAAAAGCCCAACCTGACCCTTTCATGTCGCACTCCTCCTTCTCACGAAGGAGTTTGGCAAACACGTCAGAGCAGAATTGTTCAATATCTGAAGTCTGCAGGAGAGGAGAATTTACTGTTTTGAAATTTTTTCGACATGTTTCCCCATGGATGTTTTCAAATTCACATTCCATAAAGATATTAATCTTTACAGCATCGTACGTTTCCAGGACTTTAGCTAACAGTGTTACCAGATGGTCAAAAATGAATGTGAAGAAGAGCGGAAGCGTAAACTTACGGCTGAAGCTCTTCTTTAGTTCGTAAGTTTTTAGCCGAGACTGGAACGCCATCTCCGTCACTCTGAAGCCTGGAGCTTCGTTGTCCCCAACGTTGGAGCTCGTTGGCAGCTTCATGGTAACGGGGACTGAAGCATTCCGATTCTTGAAGGCAGGGCAGGTCTGTTTTAG